GGTCTGACCGGCCTGTTTGGGAAGATGCACCATAAAAGTGGTCCTGTTTGGGAAATTACCCAAAAAAAAACTACGGTACCATGCAACCATCCATACTCCATAGCAATAGTTAAAATGTACTGTAAATATGTGGTTGATTGCTGTAAACTGAAATTCTCAGGTCAGAACCATGTCTATAGATTGTGTGTACTCTTTGTTTTCATGTGAAAAGAAAGAAAACCCATAAAAACTGTAATCATCATCACTGTCTCACTGATACATAACTTGGAAGTATTTCCATTCATCATAGAAGATATAAAAAGTTTAGGAACAAAACAAAGACAAGGAAAAACATATTAAATTATTATTAGGAAAAAATGGTAGGGGTAATTATGGAATAAATGAATAAGATAATGTAGTTGTTTATCATCTTCCAGGCAAAGTCATGTGACTCTCACCTTACAAATAATGGACCTCCATCTCTGGCAACAGCCATACTTACACATATTCCAAAAGTTTGTTAAACCAACAAAATTACAAACAAATTAAACACACTTTTATTTGATCGGAAAAAGATTGCTTTCAACAAAACTTGTTTAAATATGTTAAAACGGTGACAAGTTGGAAAGTAGTGGTCTAGTGGAGTAGTAGTAGAGAGTTATTAGTGTCAGATTCCTTTGTTGGTTGTACTTGTGTTTATTGCTCTAGTTTTCCACCTTAAACTTCTTAAAAGAAAAGAAAAAAAAGTACACTATTTCTTAAAAAAACTTGGATGTGTTCTTCTTGATTCTGATTCAGAAATACCCATTTGCTGGAAAGCTTAAAGTTTGAATATTTTTGCAGTGTGGTGTTGGATTCTATTCAATCTCACTGGTAAGGAAGTTTTGAAGAATCCCCATTTCAATTTTTGGGTTTATTTGTTTGTTTTTGTTTCATTTTGTTTGTTAGGTATGAGTGGTTGTTCTTGAATAAGATCTGTGAAAGACTGATCTTGAACTGGAATAGACAGAAATATAAAATACCCAGAGATGGATTTCATGTAAATGTTTGATTTCATGTAAATGTTTAAATGTTTTCTTTGATTGGTAATTTGAAAATTTGAGCTATGGAGATTGATTGCTAGAAAAAAAAAAGTAGTTAAACTGTATTCAAAGTTGAATCTGTGATTTTCTTCCCAAGTAATCTAGTAAAAGATCCCCTCAGGTTGTAAAGTGAAGTGGGTAGTGGAGAAGGTTGAAGAGAATGGAGCTTTGTGTGTTGATTTGTATGGTTTTGCTATCTGGTTTTATAAAGAATGGAGAAGCTGAAACAAATCTTTTTCTGGTAAATTGTGGTGTTACTTCTAGTGTCAATATTGATGGCAGGAGATGGGTTGGTGATTTGGATACTGGTGACAATTTCACCCTCAGTTATCCAGGGATTGCAGCCTCAACTCCGAATATCAGTGAAGAGTCAGTGTATGAAGCTTTATATAAAACAGCTCGGTTTTTTACTGAAAGTTCGAATTACACGTTTGGAGTTGATCCGGGGAACTATTACGTTAGGCTCCATTTCTATCCATTCTCATTCGAAAATAATGATGTCAGCAAGTCTTTGTTCACTATTATGGCAAACAATCTGAAATTGATTTCTGGGTTCAGTGTAACAACAGAAATTTCTCGGAAAAGTTCCTATATGGAGACATTGGGTAGTAATTACAGTTCATCATCTCTGATGAAAGAGTACTTTGTCAATGTTAATTCAGCCGAACTTGTTATTGAGGTAATCCCTGATGACGGTACCTTTGCTTTTGTAAATGCAATTGAAGTTATTCCAGTACTCAGTAAACTCTTTGAGGATTCTGCAAGCAAAGTTGGTGGAAATGCTGCAGACAATTCCTTGAACTTGGGGGAGCGAGGCATTGAGACGGTGTATCGATTGAATGTTGGAGGTTCAGAGATCAAACCTGATCGGGATCAAGATCTTTGGAGAATGTGGGAATCGGATATCAGCTACATGTTCACTTCATATGCTGGATCTGAAATTAAGAATGTGTCAAATATTACTTACTCGTCTGCAAATGATTCTTCAATCGCACCCCTTCTGGTGTATGAAACTGCAAGGACTATGACGAATAACGAAGTCTTGGAGAAGAGATTCAACATGTCATGGAAGTTCGAGGTAGATCCCAATTTTGATTATCTAGTGCGTCTGCATTTCTGTGAGCTAGTCTATGACAGGGATAATCAGCGGGTATTCCGAATCTACATAAATAATCAGACAGCTTCAGAGAATTTTGATGTGTTTGCCAGAGCAGGTGGAATGAACAAGGCATATCATCAGGATTATCTTGATGTAGTGTCTTCTCAGATCGACACTCTATGGATTCAATTGGGACCTGATACAGCAGCTGGTGCAGCTGGGACTGATGCACTTTTGAATGGGCTGGAGATATTCAAGCTCAGTCGAAGAGGGGATCTTTCCCGCATATCAGATAGATCTGGTTCAGGTGGAAACTCTGGGTCTGGTACACTGAAGAGCCGAGCTCTTTGGTTAGGAATTGGAGCTGGGGTTGCTTCCATAGCCATTATTGCATTGTTATGTGCCATGTTCGTCCGACGAAGAAAAAAAATGGCTCCCAACAAAAGCCATCCACCTGGATGGCGCCCATTTTTCCTTCATGGGACCTTTGGAAACAGTACTAACAATGCACAGGGTTCCAAATTTCCTGGGAGGACGCTCACTCTTAATGGTTCTATGGCTACTATTAGGACTGGCAAGTACTTCACACTAGCAGAGCTGCGGCTCGCTACAAAAAATTTTGATGATTCCTTAGTGATTGGAGTTGGAGGATTTGGTAAAGTTTACAAGGGAGAGATTGATGATGGCACTATGGTAGCTATTAAGCGGGCACACCCACAGTCTCAGCAAGGCCTGAGAGAATTTGAGACAGAAATTGAAATGCTTTCAAAACTCAGGCACCGGCATTTGGTCTCAATGATTGGGTTTTGCGAGGAACAAAATGAGATGATCTTGGTTTATGAGTACATGGCTAATGGAACCCTCAGAGCCCACCTTTTTGGGAGTGATCTTCCGCCTTTAACATGGAAACAAAGACTGGATGCTTGCATAGGCGCTGCACGTGGACTCCACTACCTTCATACGGGGGCAGAGAGGGGTATAATCCACAGGGATGTTAAGACGACAAACATCTTATTAGACGAGAACTTTGTTGCGAAGATGGCAGATTTTGGTTTGTCAAAGACTGGTCCTGCACTTGACCACACACATGTGAGTACTGCAGTTAAGGGGAGCTTCGGATACCTCGATCCAGAATACTTCCGAAGGCAACAGTTGACTGAGAAGTCTGATGTTTATTCATTTGGTGTGGTATTGTTTGAAGTTGTTTGTGCTAGGCCAGTTATCAATCCAAGCTTACCAAAAGATCAAATCAACCTTGCAGAATGGGCCATCCGATGGCAACGGCAGGGATCACTTGAATCCATTGTTGATCCCCGGCTCAGAAAATGTTACTCTCTGGAGTCGTTTAAAAATTTTGGAGAAATAGCAGAAAAATGCCTTGCTGATGAGGGAAAGAATAGACCAACAATGGGTGAAGTCTTGTGGCATCTAGAGTATGTTTTGCAGCTGCATGAAGCCTCATTGCGCAGAAACGGCATAGAAGATTCTTTTTCACGTAGTCAGATTCCAGCAAGTCCTGACAATCCAGAGGTTGATAATGAAAACAACACTGACCACAATTTTGTGGAAGGAAGAGAAACCGTTATAGATCTGAATTTGGGGGAAGATGAAGAAAATACAAGGGGGTCCAGTAAAACGAACGGTACAGCTGGTGTTGAAGAGTTCTCGCAGCTGGTTCATCCACAAGGAAGGTGAGCTATGCATAAGTTATCCAATTTGGTGGAAGTCTAAAGAAAGTCGTGATCCTGGCAAAAGTTAACTATTCATTTGGTTTGTTTTACTATTTGTTTGGGTCCTTTCTACTCAAAAGGGCTTGCTAATAGCACCTGGTTGAATCAGTGCTTAGTGTCTAGCTGAACTTCTTTTTAAAATGTATTTCCTTTACTTTCAGTTTGCTGTTTAATTACATTCTTTCTTTATCTTGATGTGTATATGAATTCTTTTATTACTTCATACAACATTTTAAGATGTTCTCAATGTTTTGTTCTTTGGATTACAACTCACTGCAGACTGTTCACTATACCTCTGATGTTATTAAACAATGTCAAATACTTAGGTTACATATATGCTAATCGGTTTGTATTCTTGCCAGTTTTTTCTTGTATGCTTGATGCATTTTGTCTTACGTAAACCTGGTTCTGACATACTACACCTACAGCTTCATTATGTACTTAAGTAATACCTGTAATATGCGTTAAGTCCTTCCATCTTCGCCCGGGTATGCCTTAATACAGATGGATCTTTCCTTGGCAACCCCGGTGCTTCAGGGATAGGTCATAGGTGGACTCATTTGTCAAGAAGATGGAATCTAATTTCTGGTTTCAATCTTACTGTCGGGCATACATCAAATAACTTCTCAGAACTGCATGTTATGGTCTAGTCTGTCTGAAGTTGCACATCACTCATTTGGAAATACAGGCTGATTCTCAGATGGTGCATCGAGCAGTTCACTCAGGAACATGCCAGAACTGGAAGCCACTGAACTTGATCTAGGCTTGTACTTTATTATTGAAGTTCTCTAATGTGAGGTGTAAACATACTTATCTTATCGAGAAGTCAGCAAACTTTGCTGCTGACTGGTTGGCCTCTATAGCTGGCCTGCTCATGGATGTGAATATTGTGTGTTTGTAAACCCTAAACCCTGCCCACATCCAGCTCTTGCAAGTATTTTGTTGTATATGAAACTGATAGAGCTGTTCAACAGAAAGAAGAAGCAGAAACTAATAACTAGTCCAAAAAGTTTCTCTATTGACAAGTACGAAGG